CGCAGGCCGGGGCCAGGGAAGCCCTGGGCGCGGTGCTGTCCCGAGCCATCTGCCCCACTTCGCATCCGGGACTGTCCTCCCGCTGTCCCTTGTGCTGAAGGTTATTAATTTCTCTGGTCTGTTTGAAGAACTGGCTTTTGTCTTGGGCCTCTTGTTTAAAATTTTTACTTTTCAGTAAAGATGAGAGTTGTGTTAGTGGGTTCTATTCAGTACTTACTGTGATTATGCTTACATAGCCTGTACGATTATTTAATGTGAAATTTATTTTGAAATAATTATTTGAATTATTGGATTATATTTGAAGATATAAATGGCCAAAATGTAAATATGGAGAGTGGCAAATATTGGAGTAGGAAAAAACGCGCGAAACATAATGGGCTGACTGCACTGCGCGGCTTCCGCAGAGCGCAGCTCTCCGGGAGATTGGAGCACATGGGTGTGCTGTCAGGTGGAGCTTCTGGAACAGCCGCGGCACTTAGCCACCCCGACACTGCTAGCTGATGAGGTCCGCCGCTGGGGCGTCACCGCCCCCGTGCGGGGTGACAGGAGGCGCGAGTGTGCGGCCTGCCTCGGGGGGCCGGGGATGCCCGCGGGGGGCCCGCACTGGGCGCTGGCGGGAGAGACGGGGGGGGGGGGGGGGGGGGGGGTGTGGGACACAGGCAGAGGGAGGCGCTCTGGGGTACCTTCTGAACTTGTCATGCACTTTGAAGCCTAATTCATTCTGTTCACTAGTAACGCGCATAAAATGCCGCTTAATAGGGATGAAAGTGAACCTGCCCAGATCCAAGACGCCAGCGTCGCGAAACCCGAGGGCTGGCTGGACGACGAGCCGAAGCTCATCCCAGACCCGCGAGCGGAGAAGCCTGCCGACTGGTAAGGGCCGTCTCCGACCCCACCCCTGGCGCCTGCGTGTGACCGACAGGAGCGGCTTGGGTCATGCCGGGTCTCGTGTCCTCAGGAATGAAGACATGGATGGGGAGTGGGAGGCGCCTCGGATTTCTAACCCAGCGTGCCGGGTTGGGTGTGGCGAGTGGCAGCCCCCCATGATAGACAACCCGAAATACAAGGGCATCTGGAGGCCTCCGATGATGGACAACCCGGCCTACCAGGTACGTGCTCGCTGCCCGCGCGGCGCAGGGGCCTCGGGGCGCCTGGCTCTTGGCAGCTTTTCTGTGGCGTTCAGCGGGTAGTGGCCGCCCTGGCTGTCTGCAGGAAGGCTGAGGAAAGAGGCTGCGGCAGGAAACCTTAGGTGCAAAAAGTCAGGTGGCCTTACCTATTAACTGGGCGGGCAACGTGGACGGTGGCAGGTCACTGACTTTGTGCCGTTGATGACCCCTGGGGAATAAAGTTCTGTTTTAGAATTAAATACAAGAGACGATTCCGGCCAAGGGGACTCCTGCCACACATTTCAGGATTGATTGGTGGCTGGCACCTGCGCCTGACTAATGTGTGCCCTACTTTCTAGCATTATTAAAATTCGGATTTTTTTCTGACGCGAGTCAGACGAGTAGCCACTGCGGGCCCGGCCTGGGGAGCAGCGTAGGCACTCTCGAGGCCTCTAGCGCAAGGCGGCTCCTTTTTAGGCCCAGAGTAGCCTAGAAAGGTTTTTGGGCCTTTTTAGTAACATCCTGTCTTGAAAAACTTCGCTGATTGGGAAAAAAAGTGTCTAAAAAACTTATCTATCTTTACAAAAAACAAAAACAAAAACAAAAAACGCACGCAGGCACACACACACACACACACAAACTTAACTGAAGTGGTACCCCTTGACTGTGAAATTTAATATCCCAAGTTTCTGTGTGTTCAAATTTTAGCTTCCTTTTTGTATGGGGTGGCAGCGAGTAAAGTCTGTCATTCATAGGGAATAGAGTGTGCAGAATAAGCAGGAACGGGATTTTGCTTCCAGCGAAGTTAGTGAACTAGTGTCAGTTAAAAGCACTTTGTTTTCTCCAGTTAATTTGCTGATTTCGTTCGGCAGGCGCCTTAGTGGCGTATTGAGCAGCATTCACAGTGAAATTCTCTTAAAAGTGTCTTCAAATTTTCTTTTCCTTTCAGGGAGTCTGGAGCCCTCGAAAAATTCCCAATCCAGATTACTTTGAAGATGACCATCCATTCCTGCTGACTTCGTTCCGTGCTCTTGGTTTAGAGCTTTGGTCCATGACCTCTGATATCTACTTTGATAATTTCATTATCTGTTCTGAAAAAGAAGTAGCAGACCGCTGGGCTGCAGATGGTTGGGGAGTGAAAATAATGATTGCAAATGCCAATGAGGTACAGTACTGAGCAGACAGAAAACAGAACATGACCCGAGTTACATAGACAGATGGCCCTAGGTCAGCTGCACAAATGTGTGATAGTTGCTAACGGTCATTACCAAGGAGATGTGCTTGAGCTGATCGCCATGGGTAGCTGGCGTCGCTGCAAGCTACGTGATGAGCTGCATATGAGTTAAAGTCTTTATTTCATTTGTTAAATTATGGATTTTAATGTCTATTTTAATGCATTTGAATGGAATGGAATGGAATTAAATGTACTCAGTTATTTAATGGAATTTAACACGTATTTGGAAATAAGATAATATCTTTGTCATCTGGTCACCTCAAGGCCTACATGGCAGGAACAGTGATCCAAATAAGAGTCTCTGTTCATGTTAGTTGTCTTTCACCTTGAGGAATGCAGAGAATTTTGAAATACATTATTATTAAATTGTGCCCCAGTTTTTTCTCCCAAATCTTAGCACTGTTTAGAAAAGGTAAGCCAAATATTTCAACACAGGGCATCTTGGAGAATATATCTTTAAACTCAATCATGTGAAGAAAAATTCATACCTTAGGTTGATTTTTTTTGGACACTAGAAAACATGAAAAAAGTAGATAAAGCTAGAGAGGTTCTCACTTTGAAAGTCTTGTAACTAAAATATTTGATGAATTTTTTTTTAAAGATTTATCTGTTCATACAGAACTGGGGTACAGGCCAGAGGCTCGGGGGCAGCGAGAGGCTTCACCAGAGACAGAGTGGGGAGCAGAACAGGCAGATGGAGGAAGCACACTGCTGAGGGGAGCAGCGGGCCGGTCAGGAGAGGTCTGCCGCGCCCTGTGGTCACCTCCGGGGCAGGCGGGGATCGAACTCATGCTGAAGTGGCTTTAGCTTCTTAGTGCTGTGCTGTAACCCGCTGCGCCACCAGGGAGGGTCATTGATGAATTTTTATTTACTTGAATAAGAAACAATTCTCTTACTGAAACTTATGTGTAATATTTTTTTCATAAAAAAAGGAGAACAATAATTCTTGGTTTGATTAATGAGTCCTTAAAAGTACAAGGATGTGTTGTTGGAGTTGTGTGTATCTCAGTGAAGCAGATAAGTACATGGCCAGAGAGTAGTTTGGGCCTGAAATTTGCAAAGGCAGGAGACAGCTGTTACCCTCCCGCCAGTGGCCGGCACTCCCGGGCCCGCGGCCGCCGCCTGTGCAGCGGCGATGCGTGCCGTCCTGCGCTCCGACGTTACAGGGCGTGAGGTGGGGAAACAACAAGTTCATGGCTCCTTCATATAAAATGCCTTGGTAAAATGCTGCGGAGTCTGGGTGTGTGGCTGCGTTTCCTAGTGAAGGTCTGTGAGGTCCGAGCTTCGTTTCCTTGTCTCCTCCCAGCCCGGCGTCTTGAAGCAGCTGATGGTGGCCGCGGAAGAGCGCCCCTGGCTCTGGGCCGTCTACCTTGTGACCACTGGGCTTCCAGTCGTGCTGATTGTTTCGTTTTTTTGGCCAAGAAAAGTAAAGGTAAAGAGAATGAATTGCCTTCGCGTTTACGAGTTCTGCAACTTGAGCAAGTGGTTCGTAAAATCGATAAACTAGTTTTCCTTTAAGTCTTCCTGATAGTTCACAGTGCCTGATATTATTGCAAAAAACAGCTAATGCTTTGATGTTATAAAAATAACTTCTATGCAATTGTTGCAGAAAAAAAGTGAAGAAACCGAGTATAAAAATACCGAATTATGCAAACCCCAGACCAAGGGCGCCCTGGAGCAGGACGTAAAGGCAGAGAAGGCGGCTCTGGAGAAGCCCGCAGACCTGGACGAGGGGGAAAAGCAGAGCGATGGCGAAATTGCTGAAAAGGGTGAGGTGGAGGCAGTGACTTACCGTGGGCGCCCTGGGCAAAGCTCAGAGAAGCAGCAGGCGGGAAGGCAGCTGCTTATTGTGGAGGTGCTGCCATTGGGACCCCCAGCAGTGGCCGCAGCAGATGGCACAACCAAGGTCCCCTCTGGCCTCTGTCTTCTAGAAGAAAGAGACTTCAGAAACATCGTTCAGTTTCTCCACAGCCTGGCAACTCCCTAGAGTCGCAGGTCCCCTCTGCCTTAGCTTTTTGCAGACTTTTCTTACCTCCGAAAGTGGATGAGATGGCGGGTGTGGAGCCACGGGCCCTGGGAGGAATGAGGCAGAAGGTGGCAGCCAGGCGGGCGCACCAGGCCTTCCCGCCTGCTGGTCCACCAGACGGGGCCCTGCGCCCCTGCCCTGCGCACCCACAGCACCTCTGGGGCCCAGGGCACAGCGTGCTGGGCGCATGAGCCACTCTCCACTGACCTCCACACGTCTAGGGAGAAGCAGACCCCGTACTTGCCAGGCACCCCGCGCCAGATTTGGAGCAGAGCCCTTCCAAGTAAACTGTGGAATAATATTTTTAACTTAGCAGTTGGTGAAAATGGACTTCAAACTGCCCTGTCTGGAGCACACACCCAGTCTCGGGGCTTCCTATTTCCTATCACACGCTGAAGCCTCAGGAGTCGAAGACCTGCCTTTTCCTTATCTGTGATGATTTGTTTGTAAAAATGGAATAAAGTGATGAATATTAATAATTAAAAATTATAAAAGGAGAAATTGCTCTTAAACAAATTCTGTTTTTGTCATATTTAAAGCCGGGTGTAGGAAAACCCTAATTCACTGAGTCTTTAATCTGTTTTCCAGAAGAGGAAGGTGACCCTGAGGAAAAGAGTGAAGAAGAAATTGAAATCATAGAAGGACAAGAAGAAGGTAATAAATCAAATAAGTCTGGATCAGAGGATGAGGTAAGCTAACTTCTGCGCATTATCACTGTTGCTCAAAAGCTACTCCAGTAGCAGCACGCGCTTCAGTAAGAGTCTGGTTTCCGAGGAAAGTCTTGCGTATTCCTCCCAGCTTTCACAAGAGCTCCACATTGTTGTCTAAATGTGTTGATAAGGAAGGCACGGAAACACTGTCACTGACATGTCCTGACGCCCGCAGGCGGCGTAGGCTCTGGCTGCGGAAGTGATGCTTTACCTCAGGTTTCTAGTTCGACCATCGGCCCTCCTGACAGGTGAAAGATAATGCTGCTTATTAGTTTTCTTTATCACGATTGTGAAGACACCTCTTTGTCTTAATAAGTTGCCATCACATTTTGAAATATTTCATTCCCTGGGTAGTTGAGTAGTAGTTGCCTAAGTGGGTGTTTGTTGTTGTTGTGTTTTTCACTCTTTTAAAAACTAGTTTTCCTATTGACTGGCAAGATCTGCCCCTCTTTGTACCCTTTGCCTCATTTTTTTCAGTCTGGCATGGACTCAGAAATCACCGTGGTTATCATTCAGAGCAAAGCTTGCTTTTCTCGGCATCTGCTCAATGCCTGTTTTCTCCACCCTTGCGAACTGCCTCTACTCAGCCCACAGAACTGCACCCTCATGGCTTGGGCTGCCTGGTCTCGTCACACCATGAAATAACCCTCCACATTGCCTCTTGGAAGAAATCTCCCACATAAACTTGTTTATTGTTGTCTGGTTGTTTTCTGCAGTGCAGATGCAGGTTACTGGTCTCAGCCGCCTCGTGAGGGCTGCCTGGCCGCCCAGCGTGCCTGCCCCACTCAGGGGCCTGTGAGGGCGCATTGTTCCAGAGCCGAGCCTCACACCCTCACTGGTTCAGCTGTCGCGTTCATGATCACGTGCACTCATTGATTTGAATATTCCACTTGTGTTTTACTTCACAGAACATTCTGTGCTCCTTTAAACTTATCTTAATCCTGCCTCCCAGCTGAGGGTGTTACAGATATTTGTGAGTGAGGCAAAATAAGTCAGTTTTTATATAGTAGATAGCTGTGGGAAAAACTATTCTATATCATGTCTTAAGAATGTCTTTTTTTAAAAGATTTATTTATTTCTGCATACAGAGCTGGGTACAGGCCAGAGGTGCAGGGACGATGAGCGGATTCACCAGAGACAGAGTGGGGAGCAGAACAGGCAGATGGACGAAGCACACTGCTGAGGGGAGCAGCGGGCGGGTCAGGAGAGGTCTGCCGCGCCATGTGGTCACCTCCGGGGCGGGGAGTCGAACTCATGCTGCAGTGGCTTTAGCTTCTCAGTGCTGCGCTTTAACCCGCTGCGCCACCAGGGAGGGCCCTGTACACTGTTTTTGTTACATGAGTTTGACTTATATGTAAATGCTTCTTCTGAATGCCTAAGGATGAAACAAAAAAACCTAAACCATAAATTTGACCTTTCCCTTTTTCCTCTCATTTTTTCTCAAAATACTCTATGCCAGAAGTTCTGAGAAAGTCTCATAAGCCAGCTCAGCAGTTCATCACCTGCATGAATATTGTGATGAATACTGTTTAATTAATGTCCCACAGTCTCTACTGAGACATCAAGATCAGGATCTACATCATGAAATAAAATCAAGAGTTGAGGGCAGTTCCCTGGCCACGTGCCTCCCTGATCAGCAGTTGCCCGCGCGGTGACCGCCAGAGGAAAGCGGCAGCTTGCCCCGGACTGCAGCTGCGGGGCTGGCGTCTGGCCAAGCGCCTTTCCTTCGGCGTAGAAAAATGTTCTGTTTTTTACCATTTTCTTGTTATTCATTGTACAGAATAAACACTCCCGCTTCTCTTTCCTAGATGAAGGAAGCGGACGAGAGCACAGGCTCCGGCGACGGGCCCGTGAAGTCGGTGCGCAAGCGGCGGGTCCGCAAGGAGTGAGGCCGCGGGGGGCCGCCTCCGCCGCGTGTCCAGAGTCGGGGTGCGGCCTGGCCGCCCGCACACCCCTTTCTGCTACTAGCCACGTTATTCCTTCAGACTTTTATTTTAGCAAAAGGAAACCTTTGAAGTTACCTGGTATTTAACTTTAGAATAAAAGAAAAGTGACGTTACCTATCAGATTTCAACACTATCATTAGGTGTTCCACAGTTTTAATAGTTTGGAGAAAGTTTTGGTTTGTACAGAGTGAAAAAAGTAAGATTTTTTTTGGGGGAAAAAATCAGTCACTGGAATTTCCTCTTCAAGGTTCTGCTTCAGTATAACTGGTGGTTTTATAATCTAAGCCAGAGTGTGTTCTGTTGTACAGAGCTACATGCAATAAAGTTTCTGTATGATTGTTTGATGTCCCACAAAGTGTTGTATGTAACCCACACTTAACCTGGTTTGTATGTGACCCACACTTACCTGGTTTGTGTCAAATTATAGTCATGGGCTCTTGTTCACTTAGTTTATAGATTCTTTTAAAGAGGAGCTTTGTTGACAGGCAAGTCAACAAAACAGAAGTGTCTGTCATAGAATCACTGGCTATTAGTGCAGCGTATTTTACGTTTGATAACAAAAGTAATAGGTTTCTCCAAACAAAACGGTGTGCATATTTTTTCCAACTTTTACCATTTTCTGCTAGAATGGCTTGCCCCGGGCAGAGGCAGGCTCGTGCACGTATTGCTCTGGAAATAAAACTGAAAGCTTTTTAATTCTTTAAATTATACCCTCTCTAATAGGGAAACTATTATCGAGGAGTCTCTGAATTACTCCCCTTTATCTGACGATTAAGATTCCAGTTGCTAATGAGTATCAGTCATCATGCTTTGTATTTTCACTCGTTTCCCGCTGAAGTCTGTTATCTCATCCAGCAGCACAGCTGCCTCTCAGGTAGCCGGCACCCCCCCCTCCCCGGCCTCCCCAAAGTGATGGAACCACATCAGAATGGAGACATTGTTCCACTGGAAATGTTTTAAGAGCTTTTCCTGTTTGGGGACAGGTCAGATCCCAAGCTGGCCAGCATCTGTGCCAGCACAGCGCCGCCCTGAGAGCTGGACTGGGTGACTCAGCCTTGCGCGCTTCACTCACTGGCTTGCCGGGCCCTGGGGCATCTCCCGGCCAGCCCCCGCCCAGCAGCGCACTGGGAGCCTGCCCGTAAGGAAGACACATCTCTGGATCTTCCTTGTGGGCAAGGACACGGAGTTAGCCAGTGGGAACTGCGGCTCCCTGTTCTGGAGAGAGCGCGGCTGCAGTGCGCGCGTCCCGCTGGGCTGGACAGTCTGACACCCGGTCACCTCACCTACTGCCGCCTGGACCTGACACGTCCGCAAGGACGCCCGTCCCTGCTTTGTACTGGAGTGAACTAGACATAGCGACTGACTCCAGAGGGTGTTTCTGAGCCGCTCCTTTGGGGAGCAGTCCTTTCTTAACCTTATGGAAACCTTGCCGACAGATGTCTTGTATTTTTCCTAAAGATTTATTAAAGCTGTTTTCACTTTCTCGGTTGCAGATTCATTTCAACTTTCACGTGTGGACAGACTCCATGAGCTTGCAGAGGTAAACCTGAGGGGCCAGTTTTGTGGGCTCACTGCCACTGCCTGCGGGTACGCCCCCTCTGCGGGTGTGCTGTGGTGGGGAGATTTAACCGAAACAAACTCAGAAGCGTGTGAGCTGGAGGCCACGCAGTAGATGGAGCGCGAGATGGCCTTCCCCTTCTCATCCTAGTCTGTGTGATGGCTTAAGTTCTCTCCTGTCTAGTAGAGGGAGGAAATCAAGTCTTTATCTTGCCTTTGTATTAGCGACCTTTCTAGATTTTTCTCCTTCTACCTGGCCACAGTTGCTGCTTTTTCTTGGAGGTCTTCGCAAGGGCCTGGCTTTCAGGATGCTGCTCTGGGAAGACGCCTCTGATCTGGGGCCCCGGGGGAACGGCTGTCACCTTCCAACGAATTGCAGGCAGTGAATTTAATTTCCTTAAAAACTTCAGTTACTGTTTGAAAAGGTTTTGTTACGATTAGAACTGTTCAGAAGAGGTAAAACAAATAGTCAAGGCTCTACGGGGGTTTTAAATTCTCTTTTCAGGGTGCCTCTGTTTTAACTTTAGCAGATCTTCGAGTTGGAATTGTCAGGTGACTAGTCAGGTGACTAGTAGCTGATAGACCTCTCAGGTTATTAAAACTTAATGGCATCTCTATGGAGATTCTAATGACCTCTTTGAAAAACCCTCGCTTCTGTGCATTTTCACAGTACAATAGCTGTGGGAAGTTCAGCAAATGACCCCTAATCTGCTAAGTCAGGAGAGGTGGGTTGACCGGAGAGATCTGTGAGCAAAGGGTGTATGGATTGGTCTCTCAAGACTGAGTGCAGTGAGGAGCTGCAGCAGCAGCAGCGTGGAGAAGACCTGCACCCCCGAGAACCCTGGCACCGAGTCTCAGTACTCCTTTGTGAGTGGAAGGCAATTTCTCATCCTCTGACATTTGGGAGGATTTTCTGTTTAAATGAGCACACGTCAACACTTAAAAAGGAAACCAGGAAAATGTCAATCAGTGGCAATCAGGAATTGAGAAATGAATTCAGCAGTAGATCTATGTTTTTCCTTGGAGTGGGGGTAAAGGCCTTGGCAAAATTAATTGTGCTTGTGTGGGACAGAATTCACTTGCATGTCTGTGGAAAGGCCCATTTACTCGCTGCCCGATTTGAATAAACCACAGGGTTGGCTACTAGCCGGATTAGAGACCAGGTTAGAGACCGGGGAGAGGGGCCCATAAGTTTGTCTGCTGTGAGATCCCTGAAGTGTGCTCCAGGCGGTGTCCCTGTGAGCTGCCTCGTGCCCATTTGAATGTCTTTCACAAAATGCAAAACATTTGCAAGTACTTTCAAGTTTTAAAGACATAGCCACTTGACAGACCATCTATAAACCTGCTGCAAGGCAAAGTAAATATATAGTTGATTATAATGTATTACATTAGCTTTTGTCATCTCTCTCCAACACCATTTTCTACCACAAAATAAATTAGGGTCAAAGACCAACATCAAGTCCATTTTGTAATGAATTTGTCTTTAACACCATTTATCTCTAAGTTAATGGTAACTTGTTTTTCAGATGGAGTAAGAGGCAATTAAGTCATTCTCTCCCAATTCTTAAACAGCCTTTTATGAATCACGGTCTCTCTTCTTTGATCTACAAATGGCCTTGACAACTAATCTCAGATCTTTGATTCTATCACATCAAAAAACTAATTGATGACTACTGCTCAAGAGGGAAAAACAAAATTATTGGGAAAGCTAAAGCTTTCAAAAGCGTTTCTTTTGAAAAGTGGACTAGATCAGATGGAAGAGTAATAGGGATAGAAATGTGTCATTATTAACTGGTCAGAACCACACACTTAAAGAGGATCCCGGTTATTTTCCTGAAAAATGCATTGTTCCTACAGAGGGTCCAAAATTCCAAAAAATCTCTGGAAATTGTTTAATCATGTTTGTCACTGGAACTCATTCAACAGCTAAACCTGATCTACTCTGACAGGAGTTTATATAGTCTTTATCACACCTAATAGTATCTTCATGTATTTTTGCTACAAAAATATTTGATAACAGGTGGGGCTTCCCCAAATACATTAGTGTAATACACTATGAAATTTGAAAAATTCCAAATTCTGAAACAGCTAGTCCCACCCAAGAATTCCAATGCAGTTTAACACCATAACTAAGTGGAAAAAAGTATAGACACATTTTAGATGAAATCAATGTTAAGAGTGAAGGGAAGTTCTGGGAAACCCTGAGGGAAAGGGCATGTCAATTTTCCCTGCCAAGCGTCATTCTACCAGGAGTTAAGTGTTAAAAGAATTGACCCTGACAGATTGAAACCGTAAGGCAGGTGTTACTTGGTCTCTTGAGACAGGTGCCCAGACTCCCGCAACAGGCTGACAAACAGCTGGGGATGTGTAGTCAAAGAGCAAGTAGAAGGAAGTAGGTGGAAGATTAAGACATCTAGGGCAGTGGAGAGGCTACTCTGCTAAAAGAATGCTTGCTGAAGGCAGGCCCGGGTAATCAGACGAGGGGAGGGAAATTCTAAGCTGACTCGGCACCATCAATCTGGACTTGGCAACCGGATGAAGTATGCGCCATGTGTGGAAGAAGCTGCAGAGACTTCGTAGTACGAGGGCTGCTAGTTGCTACCAAAGCCCTCTGTTTCCTTCCAAGGTAGTACAGAGTTGTACCTGGAATTGGGCTTCCAGCCAGGGACCACACTTCTCAGCTCCTCTGCATCTAGAAGTCATTAAGTCTGCATGCCACTGGATGTAAGAACTAGAAGCCAATTCCAGGCAGGCCTGACACTAACAACTTGCCCATAAGCAATATGCTCATGCTTTTTCTGTAAGAATGGGGTTGGCGAGGCTTAGAAGTCATGGTTGATAATGGCAGAACATCTTCAAGTCCCTAAGTGACTAGAGGAACAAAACCAGCTAGCTTGTAATGCTTGCCTTACAAGAACCATTAGTTGGGAGAGAAACCTCTATTATTTTATATTCTTTATCACTGGTCTCATTTTGGAAGCTTAGCCTATCCCCAAAATTACATTTCCTCTGACAATTTTGGATTCTTTGCTTTTATTTTTAAAATGTATATATATATATTTTAGTAATAAGTATATTGTTCCCCTAAACATCCAGTAACTTACGTAAATCAGATATGCTACTTATACTGTGACTCTGAACAACTCTGGATACACCACTAAACCACTATGTATCCCAGTTATTTAGACAAATATCAAAACACACAAGTCTCTGAAACAGCTTTTTATTAAACAGCAATAACGTAACAGCAACACAATTTTAAATGTTTGTAAATTAGTTCTCAAAGAATGTAGTGTTTGCAGTGAGACTCGCGTCCACACAGCCGAGCTGTCTCTGGACCCTACGCCAGTGCAAACGTCAGTCTAGCCCACGGCTACAAGGAGCCCAAGTCTGGCGACCACAAGCCAAACCAGGCATTGCTTTGCCTAGTCAACGTCATTCCTCAGACTGAATTCTTTACCCAGCAGAATTTACAAAGTACAATTTTAAAAACTGCCAAAGAATGACTGTAGCCCTGCAAACCTTAAGAGAATGGGTTTGCAGAAAACGGCTGGAGTAGTGAGATAAAATACTGGAAACCCATTAGTATGCATGTAAAACTTTCCATTCTATTCATGATTATGATACTAGGACACTCTGAAGAGATTGTGCAAAAGTTGATCTTCTGAGTACTACAAATAAGCCTTAAGACCAAACTCTGCGGTATTCTTTTCGAGATGTGGCTTACACAGGTTAGTAAAAGAATCCATGCTCATGTATATCCCCCAAAGATCTAACTTGTGCCAGAAATAACACAAATATGTAAAAATATTTGAAGTTGTTTACCAAGTGCTTTTCTCCAACTTCCATTTTTCTTCAAGAATTTCAATTTCAAACATGTAACCAGAACTCATCTGTTCATATACCAAGTTACCCAGTTTGACAATTAAGCTTTGAGGAAAAATCATTGTAGATTAAAGAGAAACCATCAATACTATCCCTATTACTAAAAGTTAAAAAGTCCTAACTGAGCGTACCTTATTTTGGTTACGTTTCAACAATTAAGCTCAGGTTATTTTCACAGATGGTTAACTCATGAAATCACGTCTACAAATGTGAAACCAAGGGGCCTGGGAAGGAGAAGCAAATGGAGCAGAGGCACAGGACGGTGGACAGGACACAAAGCTGCGCATTCAGTACATGATTTGGTCACTTTGTCACAACGTGGTGGTTATTTTCTTGTTTTTCTTACTACACCTAATAAAAGACAGTGCTAAACCTATAAATCAAAGGAAATTCAGCAAAACGTTCATTTTCAAGTTTCATAAATATATGCATTTCTAATTATAAAGTCTCTACAATACATCTGCACATTTTCATAGACTAACATAATACACAAACTCATGAAGTCTTCTGTTATGCTCTTAATTTTGCCTAGATCTGACGACATCTCCATAAATATTCAGTGAAGCCACAAACAAAAGTACTGTAACTTTTGGAAGCTATCCAAAGTTTAAAGAAAAAAAAGGACCAGCAGCAATTCCATAAAACCAAAGGGATATCAATCCCTTACTTTCTTTTGCTTTTTGTATCAGTTGTTTGAAAAACACTAGACGCGGACATGAGGTTTTCTATATACTGTCCAAGAACTTGATTTTCCGATTTTAGCTTCAGATTTTCTTCCTTAACTGCATCTACTCTTGCAGAGAGATCTATATTAAAAAAAAAAAAAAGGGGGGGGGCCATTATCAATAAAAGGATGGCAAAAGCTCCATACTAAAATGCTTTTTAAGATCTATTCTTAAAAGAGATACCACAAACCTTAAGTTTTCTGTGTTTAAATTTAGGTTACTTCAAAAGTTCGGGTAAGCAGAGTAAACTGATTCAATAGCCAAAATTCCTAACAGAGTTCACATCAAGACTAAATACTGCTCTTTGTAAACTGCAAAAACACAACTTTTAATTTCATTAAAAACCAAAAGATGTTTCAGTGATTATTTTTTGCAAGACATTTAGAAAAAAAAAAATCGTATGAATTACCTTTAACCTCTGAACCTAAAACATTGCCTTTATTTTAGTGGAAGCTTTAGTAAAGTGAATTTAGTAACATAATGCAGGAACTTAAAAGGAGTTTTGTGTACTAAGTAGCTTAGGTTAGATCTTAAAAGGGAAGTGTAAGAACACTATTTGCCTTCCTACTGAATCATATACTTTAAACTCACCAGCCAAAGCTGGAAGGCTGGGGGGCGGGGGCGGGAACCACTGAAAAGGAAAGAAAACTTGTGCACACTAACAAAGTTTAGTATCATATAAATGCTTACAATTGCAATTAATTAGATGCTGTTCAAGAAAACTACAAAATGCACGCTAACCTTCAAGTGTGTGTTGAAGTTCCAACACTTGATTAATAAGTCGTGTTTTTTCCTCCAGTTCCACCTGATTTTCAGCATCAACTGCTGCAATAAAAAGGTTTATATTTACTATTAACATTAGGCGGTACCATCTGCATAGAACAGTACTTAAAAAAATCTGCAAAATGTTTTATATTAGTTATTTTACTTGAGTTATATGCAAGCCCTGTGACATAAAAGCTATTCGCCCACACTGCAGATAAGCATGTCAAGGTGAAGATAAAATGTCCTGCCAACATCTCGCAGTTAGAGAATGGAAAATGCCTTAAATCCTTTTTAGAACTAGGAGGTATGTGTAATAAATAACCAGCCAAGATCCAAGCCTCCCAAATATTGCTTTACTGCTCTTTCCATTGTCTAATAAAACAAAAGCAGCCACACAACATGAAAAAAAGAAAGACAAAGAATATACCATCCATGTCTGCATTCATCATCTTAGGTAACAAACTTTGGGGTCTTGGATACAAAATTCTTGGTGAGCGGTCTGCAATAAGAAAAAGTTTGAAACAGACAAACATACCAATAAAATAGAAGCTTGTTTTTAAAAGAAAACTAATTTCACAGGCTCTACTGTTTCTAGGAATAAACACCCAAGGGGTAAATAAGCAAAGGATATGTATACATAGTTCATAAAATTGTGTTTTAGTAAGAGAAATGTGGAGTGGTATTCAAAAATACCACTGTATATTTGGTAATCAAGGAAATACATAATAAAATACCACTGTATATTTGTTAAATCACTTTTTAAAGAAGGTAATGGTCAATGCTAACAAAGTTGTGGAAAAAAGCACAACATACTGAAATTTTAAAAATGCAATTTTTGGGAAAGCAATATGGTAATAAGAGTCAGAAAAACATTTTTTACTCTTAGAAATTTAGTCTAAGGAAAACTGTAAAGAATGAAAATAATTATATGCATAATAATCACACTCCAATCTTATTTGCAACCAAGTAAACTATAACCAACAAACTTTACATTCAGGATCTGGCTAATCATAGTTGCAGTTTCTATTTGAGTGGCTACTAAAAACATTTATGAACACTATAACCACATGTAAAAATTGTTTAGGAATCACACAGTCATTGAGGTAAAATATACATACGTATAGATAAGCAAAATAAAAAAGCTGTTAAATTAGAAGGATGATGGTAGGGGAAAGACAAATCTCTAAAACTATGCACTTTTTACATAGTGTTCCATGTCTATACAGAAAATTCACAAGAAATATCTAGGATTTGAGATACTAACACTGAATAAATGAAAAATACTTATCCTCTCTGGGTTATGATTAAAAAGTATGTAAATAAATATTAGCATTTTATTGTTCCCATTAAAGGGTCCAAAAAGAGCTCAAAATTCTTGTGAAAAATGTTTTGCTTTATTCCTAATATTCACATTCAATGGGACCAAAATTTATTAAATGATGCTGTAAGATTATTATTAAGAAAACAGGTTTGCTACCCAATCTAAGTCACTTTAAGTAACTTAGACCTGTTAGTATCTTTCCACTTAATTGGCACGAGAGCTCCTCTTACACTTTTCATATGGTTTTAACTCTCAGGTTCTTTGTATTTCAGAGAAAGTAAGTGTATGTATACACTGTATCTCACATTATACACACACCTACATAAATGCAGGCTGATTACTAAACAGTTTCTCAATTTTTTTTTTATTTAACCCATTATAGTGTTCGAAAAGTGTTTCTCTCCATCAATCAGTACTTCCTTACCACTGAAGAGCAAGAGTATTAGCAGTGAATGATTTAGCTGGCACTTCCCCGGGAAAAAAAAAACATTTTCCTTCCTTTTCAACCAGAGTTGAAGTTATTAGACGAATAACTGGGGTGGAGGCAAGAGCACACACCGGGCGTGCAGACAGTGAGTGGAGACAACACACACCCCACAGAGCACTGCACACACACGCACACTGCAGTCTACGTAATGCCGCACCCCAGGCGTCCGTGTAAAACCTGTCTGACCATATGTGGTCGCCCTGGGCAAAAGCATGTACTCTTAAGATGCACACCAGAGCAGTAATGCACAACAGAATGAAAAGAAGCAACTCTCTTTTATTGTGATGCCATTAATCAACAGACCTGAAAATACTCTTGAATCCAAGGTCTTTAGTAAATGTAGAAGAATATTAATTTTATGCAAAAGGCTTGTTGCACTCTTTCTATCAAAGTATTTTAGCCATGGATTTTATATTCTTTCAAAACAGGATCAGTCCTTAAACTTGGCAATGTCTGTTATTAACACAGTATGTCATAATTCAACATCAGATTATTTCTTATAAAATCCTTTTTTCAATATATAGTTGTGCTCACAAAGGTCCAATTCCATCTCAAACGTGCTCAAAGCACCTCCTTTTTCAACTCATCAGTGTGTGAACCGCTCATTATCAGTGTGTGAACACTGATGGGAATGGCGGGTGTGAAGGTTGGTCTGTTTATCCCAAATCTTCCCTCCAAAATGGATATGGTTCTCTGGTATTTCCCAACTGTGACATAAACCCAGGTCAGATCTCTTAAGACTTTTCTCAAAAACCTTTTCTAGTCTGAGTCAAAGAAGATAATCTAGATTTAGAGAATTTAAGTCCAGGAAACGAAGACACAGAGTATCAAGACGTTGGAAGCATCAGGCCACATCTATTTTCCATGCCCTCACACCTGTGACAGACACTCATCACACATCTCTGCCTCTCCAGCACACCCAATGTATTGCACATCCTTAGATTACCTGGGTTGGGATCATAGCTCTGCTATTTGTAAACTCTAGGACCTCAGGCAAGTCTTACAATTCAGTCTTAGTTTCCTCAGCCCATCCCTGTGTGAATTTAATGAATTGATACATATCATGTGATTGCAACAGTACCTAGTACAATGCAGGTATTCAAGGAATGGTTGCAATTTTCTCTCCCTTTTAGCAGTCAATCCAGGCCACAAAAACCTCATCTGGTCCAGCTGCCTCATTTTAAAAATAAATCAAGGCCAGGGACAAAGCCTTACCTAAGACCTGCTAGTAGATCCACTGAGCCAAGAACCAGTGCCCTAGCCTGCTTTTCCCCACCAACCCACCACAGGTCTGCTCACATCTGAGACCTGAGGTTCTGCGACTTCCCCCTAACTTCCACCCCATCTCAACCACTCAACGGCTTGCATTAAGTGGATTTTCATCATGTCTTCTTAGTGAAGCTACTGAAGTAATGGCATTGTGCATAACATACTAAGTGCTTCACCAGCAGGACTTGGCCATTTTCACTATCAGGACGGCCATGCATCTTGACGTAGCTTTCACAGAACGCCTGCACCAAGAATTCGAATTCAGATCTAACTGCTTTTTCTATTATGCACCGGAAGAAACAACACGGCCACAATCTGCGTTTGCCAAACACTCCGCAACCTCAGATGTTCAATTCCTCTGAGACTTCTGAATCGCTGCGGGTAAATTTCATTCCCTTCCAGCTGCATTAGCTGTCAACCTGGTGGGCTGGATCAGATCCGTTCCATTCCTGCCAGGTTCTGGTTAGATCCGGTTTCAAATTTCAGAACATAAAGGAACTGCTTGGCCAAAACAGGATTTGGGCGGCAGCCAGATGCCCAGTTTGGTCGCTGAGCTCGGGACGCCACAGGCTCCCTAGACCGGCTCCGGACCCGGCGCTGGACGGAGCGGCGCAGGGTCCTTCACCGTTACGTCACAGCCGGGGGGCCTCCGTGGCGTCTCACAAAAGCCCGGCCTTCAGGGGCGTCTCCTTTCTCCTCTCCCACCCTCAAGCCCCACAACTTGTCCAGCAGGACCCCTCAGAGAAGTCCGTCGAGGAGCCACCCCCGGGGCGCGTCCCGCGGGAGAGACGTCGCCAGCCCGTGTCCCCGCGCCCGGCTGCCCTCCCCGCCTCGGCGCCCCCTGGCC